TGCCTTGGCTGTTGACTGGGTCTTCCATCTTCCTGAGCTCTCTGCCTACCCTACTCTGTCTCTCATCTCTCTGGCTTTGCCTACTCCACCGCGTGACCTGACCTGCCGTATCACCTGGCTGACCTGTTCCCAGCACAGATAGCATCTCCCCTGGGATGCCTGCCTGCTCTCTCAGCGGCTCCTCCTCTGCGTGCCCATCATACCTGTGCACCTCCAGCGCGCACTGAGTACGGGGCTTGGTAGTCTGTTTGGTATATATCTCTTTTCCTCACCAGATGACAAGTTCCTTGAGGGGAGGGGCCTGCATCTTAGTCATCTTTGTATCTTCAGCACTTTTCGTGACATTAGACACATAGTTCCAGCTCAACCAATGTTTATTCAATGAATGAAGAAGCAATCAGGTATTTATGGGATTTAAAAAAATGCAAGTGACTGACGCCTGTAATCCTAGCACTTTGGGAGGCCAAGGCGGGTGGATCACCTGAGGTCAGGAGTTTGAGACCAGCCTGGCCAACATGGTGAAACTCCGTTTCTACTAAAAAAAAAAAAATTAGCTGGGCGTGGTGGCGCGTGCCCATAATCTCAGCAACCAGGGAGGCTGAGGCAGGAGAATTACTGAAACCTGGGAAGTGGAGGCTGCAGTGAGCCGAGATCATGCCACTGCACTCCAGCCTGGGTGACAGAGCAAGACTGTTTCAATTAAAAAAAAAAAAAAAAAAAGCAAGTTATAGGAGATTTCTAATATAGGACTATAGTTATACTTTTAAACACGTTGTAATAGAAGGGAAGCTTTGAGCTTGCTTATTAGCTCACGGACTGTTTATTCTGACGCTCAGGGTTTGTGCAGTGTGTAACTGTGTGGACCTCCTTCAGGGGCCTGCTTTCACACAGTGCATCCTGCTGTGCTCCTAGGTTCCTGCAGGTGCCCATTTTATGCTCTGTCCTGTTGGTTGGAGTAGAAATGCTCTCTGCTCATTGTAGAACTCTACTGACCTCTTAGAAGATGAGGAACAAGTTGGAAGAGGGATCCATCCACTCTCAGAAAGAATTCTGTAGAATTAGAAGCTGAACCACAGGGCCAGGGGCCTCCTCCCAGGTGGACCCACTGAGCAGATAGCAGCTGCTACTGTTCCTGCTAGGAGCTGGTATCACTGATGATGACATTCATAACCTGAGTCATACTTTGAGCAAATGTAGAACCCTACTTATTTTCAGAGTTTATTCCCTTAGTTTTTTTTTTTTTTTTTTTTGAGATGGAGTCTTGCTCTGTCGCCCAGGCTGGAGTGTAGTGGCACGATCTCAGCTCACTGCAAGCTCTGCCTCTGGGTTCACGCCATTCTCCTGCCTCAGCCTCCCAAGTAGCTGGGACTACAGGCGCCTGCCACCACGCCCAGCTAATATTTTTTTGTATTTTTAGTAGAGATGGGGTTTCACTGTGTTAGCCAGGATGGTCTCAATCTCCTGACCTTGTGATCCGGCCACCGTGGCCTCCCAAAGTGCTGGGATTACAGGCGTGAGCCACCGCGCCTGGCCAGACTTTTTTTTTTTTTTTTTTTTTTTCTGTCCTGGTACTGTAGATTCAGAGGAGGTGAAAAACACACATCAGGTTATGAGCATCATGATCATGATTATTATCTCAGAGGAAAACAGATGCACCCCTTTCACCAGCTGCCAACAGAATTGGAGCTCTGCAGAGATTGACAGAGGGTGTAGACTGTCTCCCTTCCCTAGCAGGGCTGGTGCTTGTCCTGACTCACACAGACGGCCTCTCAAGTTAGATTGGGAGTTCATTTTCTCTAAGTCAGATGGCTATTTGAGAAAGCTCAGTGGGCCCTCCTTTTCATAAATATGCCTGGGCTTCAGTTTTTCCATCCATAGAATGAGGAAGTTGTCATAGAGAATCTGGGGATTTGTTTCCAGCTTTTACAATTCCACAATTTATAGTTCTCTGTCCTTTCATGGTTCTTATTTCAAATTCCCAAATTATTATTCTTATGTTTGTGGGCACAGAATGGGCTATGAGCTTCTTGTCCCACAGCTAAATCTCACCCTTTATCGGAAAAATATATATGTTGGAAAAGCCGCTCTCAATTGCGATGAAATAAATGACAGCCACTTTCAAGGCCAATAGCTGAACAATTACAGGAAAGCATTGAATCTTGTGCCAGCATGGCTGCTCCAACCCGAGATGGCCGCGGTACAAAGGATATTTATACGTTGGGTTTCAGAACAATAATTCAAGTGCTCAAGAGCCTCATCTTGTGATGTTATCACAAGAATGTCCAGGCAATGTTTTCTTTAACTCCAGGAAGAGTGATTTAGAAGGACGGATCTTGCCACATGTGTCCAGCTGCGTATTTATTGCTCTTGGAAGAGAATTATTCTGTAAACACAGAAATATCCAAGAATGGATGCTTGAAAGATGATCTTTTCCTTGCTTACAGTTGTCAGGACCGTGTATATGCAATAGTACAAAATTAATAAACTCTATCAAATTTCCTGTAATCATAAACCAGGCAGCAATATTTTATTTGCATCAGAAGGTCTGATTCTGGGATTTCACTCTCCTATCGTTTGAAGACTGCAAATTGAACCAAGTGTTCTTAGAGCCTGTGAACTCTTGCTCACAGTTACATAGCCAATCAGTCTACCTATTTTTTTTTTTTTTTTGAGACGGAGTCTCACTCTGTCACCCAGGCTGGAGTGCAGAGGTGCCATTATCAGCTCACTGCAACCTCCACTTCCTGGGTTCAAACGATTCTCCTGCCTTAGCCTTGTGAGTAGCTGGCATTACAGGCATGCACCACCACGCCCGGCTAATTTGGTTTTTGTTTTGTTTTTTGTATTTTTAGTAGAGACAGGGTTTCACCATGTTGGCCAGACTGGTCTCGAGCTCCCGACCTCAGGTGATCTGCCAGTCTCAGCCTCCCAAAGTGCTGGAAATACAGGCGTGAGTGACCGCACCCAGCCCGGTGTACCTATTTAACAACAGAGAAAACTTTCCACTTTTAGGAAATGGAATATTGCCATTTATTCCTGAAGAAACTTGTCTGTTTTTAATGCCCTACGGACGTTTCTCCACACCAGCTATTCCTGTGGTAGGCGTTTTCTCTCCAGGATCATTCTGACATGATTTTATAGGAATGGTCATAAGAGAAGGGCCCATCCCTTGCTGCTTATGCACACCGTGTATTCATCCTAGGAAAAGTGCAGTGTGCCGGGCGTGGAGACGACTTTTTTTTAACCTTTATTTTCGGTTCGGGGTACATGTGCAGGTTTGTTATATAGGTAAACTGTTGTCACAGGGGTTTGTTGTACATATTATTTCATCACCCAGGTATTAATCCTAGTACCCAAGTGTTACCTTTTCTGCTCCTCTCTCTCCTCCCACCCTCCCTCCCTGCTCAGGTAGACCCCAGTGTCTGTTGTTCACCTCTTTGTGTTCATGTGTTCCCTCATTTAGCCCCCACTTACAAGTGAGAACATGCAGTATTTGGCTTTCTGCTCGTGCATTAGTTTGCTAAGGATAATGGCCTCCAGCTGCATCCACGTTCCCACAAAAGACATGATCTCATTCTTTTTTATGGCTGCATAGTATTTCATCATGTATATGTACCACGTTTTCTTTATCCAATCTGTCATTGCTGGGCATTTAGGTCGATTCCATGTCATCGGTGTTGTGAAAAGTGATGCAATGAACATTCCTGTACATGTGTCTTTATGGTAGAATGATTCGTATTTCTCTGGGTGTATACCCAGTAATGGGATTGCTGGGTCAAATGGTAGTTCTGTTTGTAGCTCTTGGAGGAATCTCCATACTGCTTTCCACAGTGGTTGAACTCATTTACACTCCCACGCACAGTGTATAAATGTTCCCTTTTCTCCGCAACCTCGCCAGTGTCTTGTTCCTGTTGAAAGGGCTTGAAGTGTTGCCCAGAGAGCCACTGACTGCAGCCACTGCATTTCTGACTATTCCATATCGTTGTTTTGGGAAGTGAATCTTTCCCTTTATCCTGCTGTCAGGATACCTGGGCAGCTGCAGGATGATTTTTCCCATAGGGAGCAATGATTCATCCTCAGGGACTTGGGCAGTTTCTCTTGTGCAAGGTCAGCTTGCGCTCCTAATGCAGCACCGAGGTCAAGGGTAATAGTGGCCTCATTGCATCGACTCTCAGGTTTCCCAGGTCAGATCTCCCTCCCTTTTGCCGCTGTGATTTCTTCCTATTCAAATCATGAATCATAAAGAGGAGCTCATGGAAAATCTTTTTATAGAAATGGACACATTATTTCTATGCCTGCCTTTCTATTTTGGGGGCAGGGAGAAGGGGAAGATGCAAGGCTGGGTCACAGCCGGACAGGATGGGGGCTCTGGTGCCAGCCCTTACCTGTATTTAAAACTGAGATAGCTTTTTCTGACACAGTAAAAAATAATTCGTGCTTTTCAAGAAGTGGAATGTGACCAGGTGTGTGGTGGCTCACACCTGTAATCTCAGCACTTTGCTAGGCGAGGCGGGCAGATCACCTGAGGTCAGGAGTTTGAGACCAGCCTGGCCAACATGGTAAAAGCCTGTCTCTACTAAAAATATAAAAATTAGCTGGGCGTGGTGGCAGGCACCTGTAATCTCAGCTACTCGGGAGGCTGAGGCAGGAGAATCGCTTGAACCTGGGAGGCAGAGGTTGCAGTGAGCTGAGATTGCACCACTGCACTCCAGCCTGGGCAAAAGAACAAGACTCTGTCTCAAAACAAAAAACAAACAAACAAACAAAAAACAAAGTGAATGCATTCAAACACAAAACTGCCTTAGCTAATGAAAAAGAAAACAAAAAAGGTGTTATCATTGAAAATTATGACCTATTAAAGGGTGAGTTTTAATTATTCATCCAGAGGAATTAACCACTTTTCGGCTAAAGATGACAGACAGTGGGACAGTTAATGTCTTTGTGTGCATCTCTTTCAGAGAGTGCTCAATGGGACCTGGATTTTCTCTTCTTTTTGATAGGTTGCTGAAAAGGCAGGTGTCAAAATGACTGAGCGCTTTGACTGCCACCATTGCAATGAATCTCTCTTTGGCAAGAAGTACATCCTGCGGGAGGAGAGCCCCTACTGCGTGGCGTGCTTCGAGACCCTCTTCGCCAACACCTGCGAGGAGTGTGGGAAGCCCATCGGCTGTGACTGCAAGGTACCTGCCACGGGACTCTGCGGGTCCGCGGCTGCTCCCCCAAGAAACACGGGCTTCTCTGTGATTTGTGCTGAAGCCCTGATCCACCACTGAAGTCTGTCTCTTGAGCCCCCTCCGAGAGGTGCGGACCCTGCATGTAGCCTTTCGGAAGCTTCTTCCCTCTAGCTAATGTGATCTCTGCCCACAAGCACTGGGTGAAGGCCTTGCCAGGACTTTCGTGCTTAGTGTCTCTGAGTACGTTTTCTGTGTTCTAGTTATTAGTGCCCTTATCTAACCACCCAGCTGCCTACCAACACTGTAACTTTCTTAAGGGCGGTGCTCTCTTCCTCTTGTCTGTTTGCCCCATGGTGAGTAATGCGGAGCAGGTGCTGTGCTCAGTCAATATTTGATGAATGAATGTGTGCATGAGAGAACCAGAGTGGGTTCCTGGAAAAATGGGCACATAAAAGCACAAAGTCCTTGGAAGATTGTGGGCTCTTTTCCTTTAATGAGAGAAGGACAGGATTTGTATTGTTTCCTTTCAATGGGGAAATGCGTTCACGGCTCTCCTGGGATGGCACAGCGTGGTTCAGCAGAGACCACTGGTCACTTGTACCAGTATTTAACAGGCCAAGCATGAGAGTTCAGTCACCAGACTGCCCAGTTCCAGCCGGGGCTCCGTGTCTCACTTGCTGTATGGCCTTGGGTCAGTTACTTGACCCTTCCGTGCACATCCCCACATCTATAAAATGGGGAGAACCAGGCCAGGCACATAGGCTCGATGCCTATAATCCCAGCACTTTGGGAGGCCAGGGCAGGCGAATCACTTGAGGCTGGAGTTGGAGACCAGCCTGGCCAACATGGCGAAACCCTGTCTCTACTGAAAATACAAAAATCTAGCTGAGTGTGATGGTGCATATCTGTAATCCCAGCTACTTGGGAGGCTGAGGCACGAGAATCACTTGAACCTGGGAGGTGGAGGTTGCAATGAGCCGAGAATCATGCCACTGCACTCCAGCCTGGGAGACAGAGTAAGACTCTCTCTCAAAAAACAAACAAACAAACAAAACTGGGGAGAACCAGGGGTCTGCTTCATAGGATGGTTCTAATATGTAGATACAAGCCCTCACACTCTTCTAGCAGCGGACAGGGTAAGCTCCAGACTGCCCCCTTTCTGCTGACTGCTTCCTTATTCTTTTTTTTTTTTTTGAGACAGAGTCTTGCTCTGTCACCCAGGCTGGAGGGCAGTGGAGCGATCTGGGCTCACTGCAGGCTCCACCTCCCAGCTTCATGCCATTCTCCTGCCTCAGCCTCCCGAGTAGCTGCGATTACAGGCGCCCGCCACCTCGCCCGGCTAGTTTTTTGTATTTTTTTTTTTTAGTAGAGATGGGGTTTCACCGTGTTAGCCAGGATGGTCTCGATCTCCTGGCTTCGGCCTCCCAAAGTGCTGGGATTACAGGCTTGAGCCACCGTGCCCGGCCGCTTCCTTATTCTTTTTGTGACATGTCCCTTCCATGCACCTTTCAGAAACTTCACCCTCTCTCTTTGTTGCTTTTCATTTTGGAAACATCAATAAAAATGTCCAGTTTGAGGAAGAACTAGATGGCCCGAGAAAAATACAATTATAAAACTTCACCTGGAAAAGAAATACTTAAGTAGGTGAGTGGTTCAGATACCATCTGGCAAAGGGTAACTCTCACTTTCAAGGACAGATTTTGGATATTTGGGGCTAATCATCCCTGACCAGTGGCTGAAATAAAAACAAAACAAAAAATCACTTGCCGTTTCTCCAGTGAGTTAGTGGAAAGATCCTTAAAACCAGTCATCCTTCCACGCATGTTTTATGAGCAAATAAACAAGAGTCTCCCAAATGCAGCCAAAATCATCCAGGCTGCTGTCAAGCCAGGAGTGAATTGTGCTGAACTTTTCAACTCGGATTCATGTTTTGAGATACGTGGGGCTACACTGTATGATTTTCTACATTTTGGAACAAAAAGAGACATCGAGTTGAAGCGAGACCTTGGCATTTGGGGCTTTTGATGCTTTAGGCGTGATTTTCTTGACTTTCAAAAATAAGCAGGTAGTTGGGTTTGTAGTGGAAGCAATGACAGAAAAGAAATGTTCCTGTTTTTTTCTGGAAGTAAAGCCCACAGTCCTGGCAGGCGGGGAGATACCTGATAGAGGAACTGCGCTCTTAGGTCTGGTGGCCAATGTCTTCTCTTAAAATAGCACAGCCACCACGGGCCTCAGCTACTTCTCTCTAAAGGATGTGTTCATGTGTGTACATTTTAAATGTTGGCATGCCTATAGGAATTAGGCTAATTTTGAGAGTCCTGACCTACTTCAATGAGACAGGCAAGACTTCAGAGCCTGTTCTATAGTTTGAACATCCTCTCTATGTAGCCACTGAATTGTAACCTTTTTTTCTATTAAGTTACTCTGGGAAAATGCTGTGATCTCAAAGGGTAAAGATTATTGATTTGTATGGCCAGTGTAATAGTGGAGACTAGGCAGTGCTAATACAGTGTTATGATCCTCTGACATTACACCCTTCCTGAATGTTTTCTTGGATACCTGTTAATATTAACAAAATATTTTTGTAGACTGATTACAGAGTTTTTGGGAGATCTACCTATGTTCTGGGCTTTAAAAATTCAACAAACTAAAGAAAAAATAGGGCTGAGCACAGTGGCCCATGCCTGTAATTCCAGTACTTTGGGAGGCCGAGGCAGGTGGATCACTTGAGGCCAGGAGCTGGAGACCAGCTTGGCCAACATGGCAAAACCCCGGCTCTACTAAAAATACAAAAGTAAGCTGGGTGTGTTGGTGTGCACCTGTAATCCCAGCTACTTGGGAGACTGAGGCAGGAGAATATTTTGAACCTGCTAGGTGGAGGTTGCCTTAAGCTGAGATCGTGCCACTGCACTCCAGCCTGGGTGACAGGGCGAGACTCCATCTTAAAAAAATAAAAATAAAAAATAGGCTGGAGTTCCAGAGATGGCTGCTAATACTGTGCATTTAACAAATTGGTGATTTTAAGTCCTGGGTGACACACCTAACCCAGATTTTGAATGTTCCATGGGTCTGCAAGCAATGCCATGAAATCGGACAGGTTACCACACCCACCTATGTGCGTAGAGGGTGCTACGAAGAGAAAAAATTAATAATAAACAAGAACAAAAGATCTGCAGATCAGAAACTAGCATTCTGGGTTTAGCTTTTAGTGGTAGTCATTGAAACCACCGTGTGTCGCCTGATGACTTGTTCCAGGCACTTGTAAATGCCTAAACTGCATGATCTAAATTCCTCCTAACACCCTATAGTAAGAACTTTTTTCATTCCATTTTATGGAGTAGTCGCTGAAGCCTAGAGAGGATGAGGATCCTGCCCAGGGTTAACAGGATTAGGAAGAATCCAAGGTACAATTTGAGCCCAGACCCGGAGGGTCCTCACCTATCATGCGATGCCACCTGCCACCTGCAACCTTGGACACAGGACCCTGTCTACGCGACTCTCGGGCCAGATGTAGTCAGTCCCTGTGAGTAAGAGGTGGTGACCACCTGGCCTCTATCAAGTGACCTTCAGTCAAAGGCCCCTACTCTTCTCGTGGCCCCCTTTAGATGGTCATGATTGCAGAAGTGAGGCTCAAGTCGTTTCACAAACTCTCTTTCCAGCTTTTGTAGTTAATTAAATAGGAAACACTGAAGTGAGGATCAAATTGGCAGAGGTTTACCCATCATGCTGTAAAAGTCTCAGTTAATGTTTGGTAATGGACAGAAAAGTTCAGTGGTATTTTGGCAGAAAGCAACCTGTCTGTGAAATAGGAGACGAAGGTTTTCACACATGCGAGTTAAATCTAGATGCCTCTGGTATATTTTGGAAGGTTTCTGACCAAGCCTCGTGAGAGGTGTAAGGTCAGGTTTGAAAAACCCACCCTCCTGTCCTTGGTGTGACACAGGACTGCCCCGCTGCTCTCTCTGGACCCTTTTCGGGGAAGAGCAGCTACTCCAGTCACAGTCTCAGGGTCCAGCCTGCCAACCTGGTGCTTTTTTATTTGTTGGGGTGGTTTTTAAGTTCTCAATGAGAAAACGACCTTTTTGGATCTTCTTCCATGTAGAATTTGTCCACAGAGTTTGTAACGAGCAATGAAAACGTGTATTTATTTGGATTTCCTCCTACAAGAGAAAAGTCTGTTTGTGAAGGTAATTTAATCAAGGAGGGTCCTAGGATCAGGAGCAAAGCTGTTTGGATGAATTCCATGAGAAGGACCTGTCAGTGTGTGAAACCAAAAGTTCAGCCACAAGACATAGCAGCAGAGGTGCACAGAGCTCAACAGTGACGTCGCGTGCACTGAGGCTGGACCCCGGAGCCGAATCTCCCTGGCTCCACCTTTGACGAGCTGCACGATGGGGACAAGTCCTGCCACCTATAAGCCTCCGTTTCCATGTCTATAAACTGGGGTTCCGAGCTCATGGGACTGTCGGGGTAATTGAATGAGTTGACGTCTAGGGAGACCTGTGACGTGCCAACACAGAGCTGTCATTTCTGCTATTGTCCATTTTTCCGCATCTTTATTTGTAAGGATTTGAAAGAATGTACAGTTGGAAACCTGATGATCTCAAGCATAGAATATCTTTTCATAATGCTGAGCATGAATGATGTGAGAATCCATTGCTGAAGTGAGATCGTATGGATCTGAAGAATGGCTGGTCCCAGCCCTGGTGGAACGGGGTGCGAAGGAGGGAGGATGAGAGCCAGCCGTTTCAGTCTGGTGGCCCTGCCACCCAGACCGTCCATGAGCTGCGGGGTCCAGGGCTTCCTCCAGGCCACTTGCCACTAAAGCTCAGCTAAAGTCTTAAAAAGGACACATTTGGAGCCAAGCAACAGGCACAGCCCATGTTAGGAATGTTTCTGAAATGGAAAAATACAAAACCAGAAAGGAAGTATGCGGGCCTAATCTTACATGTTTATCAACATTTTACTGCAATGCATGACATTTCTGTGAGCACAAGATTAGCCTT